CGGGGTGCGGGATGAGCGAGTGGACCCCCTCGGACCGGTCCGCCTCCAACAGGGCTACAGCCGCCTGAATCTATGGCACATCGGGGAAATGTGTGCGTGTGTGCGATGGGGGGGAGAGGGGGGAGAAGGGGGGGAGGAAAAGGGCGGGAGGGGATAAGGCCCACTACCACATTTCAACACACACACATACACATACACATCCCGTGTCTCAGTTCATTAAAATAGGCACATACACGCACCCACAGGAGCCTGCATCGGTTGAGTTATTCGTGCACCCACGTCGGCTTGTTCCCGTATCGCGGCTTAGGTTAACCAACACACACACACATACACACATACACACATATACACGCACAACACACACATACACACATACACACACATACACGCACAACACACACATACACACATACACACACATACACGCACAACACACACATACACACATACACACACATACACACACATACACACACACACATACACACATACACACACATACACACATACACGCACAACACACACACATACACACATACACACATACACGCACAACACACACATACACACATACACACATACACACACATACACGCACAACACACACATACACACATACACACACATACACACACATACACACACATACACACATACACACACATACACACATACACGCACAACACACACACACATACACACATACACACATACACACATACACACACATACACACACATACACACATACACACACATACACACATACACACATACACACATACACACATACACACACATACACACACATACACACACATACACACACATACACACACATACACACATACACACATACACACATACACACATACACACACATACACACATACACGCACATACACGCACAACACACACATACACACACAACACACACGCACACACACAGGCCCACCTACAGTCCCGGATCCCTCCCCCCCCCCCCTTTCCCTTACCTTGTGC